CCAGTGCTTGTGTATTCTTTGTTTTTTTGTTATGTATAGTCATATGGGCCTGTGGCTAAAAGACAATAAACAATAAATCAAACAATAAAATACCCGGTAGAAATACATGATTTTAATTTGCATAAAAATTTTATCCAAATTTCCTGAATATCCAATATCCTGGGAAGGAGAACAACCCTAAAATTCATGCTAAATATAGATTTGTTTCCAAAAATGTAAAACTAATATTATTCAAACACAATATTACAATTGAATAAAATCATGAATTGTAGCATATAAGTAGAAAAATATTTGAAAAACACAATCCTCCAAACCCCTGTTTTGAAACGATTGGCCTTGATATGATGCTGCACTGAGGTTGGCGCCCTCTCAACACCGATCTGAGTCTTTGTTGAGATAAACCACTCCACTCTGCCGATTGGCTGGTTCCTCAAGTGTCATGGCGTACCTACCTGCCATTCGCAAAGGACGCCGGGAACCAGCGAACCGGCTGTGTAAAGGGCTCATACCACTAATTGAATTTCCATAGACGACAATGTTAACATATGACGAGATTGCTATATGAAAATGACGAAGAAAGTTGAAAATATGGCTCAAAAATGGGAAATCAACATGCCAGTAATCAACCATATGAAAAAAACTAACATGTTGGCCAGCTCAAACTCTTGCAAATCTCAGGTAAACAAGACACACCTACTGTATTTGGATTGCACCAAGAGAAATCACTGGAAAAACACCAAGATTAGAACATCCATTAACACACAGAATAAACCCACAGGTACACAGCCGCTAAGTAGTAAACAAAAGACCACATGTTGGTCTCACCTCTGACCCAGGTGATTACGCCCTCAAACAGGGAGCACCTGAGAAAAATAATATTTAAAAAATTTCATTGGTTCTTGCTGGGCATTTAAATTGAGGGCTACGAGCAGCCATTGGTTAATTAGTGGCATGAGACCTAAAGAGTAAAAACCGGTTGTGTGGGTCACCAGTTGAGGGCGCTTCTTTCAATCGCGAATTTTGTATTCTTTGGTCGTATGTGGTCGTAGCTCAAAAGTTGACAAGGTACTGTTTCGATTTGAAGTAATTCAAAGCAGGTGAGTTGAATGACAGGAGAATGACTTTACTAGTAACCATAAATTGAGCATAAATATGCAAATAATCGTAGGTTGATTTGTGGTAGCGTCTTCGAAGTCACGATGGCGTTTGTCCGGGCAGGACTCCAAAAGACGTACCTACACTTTATGCACATTTTTAAAAAATTATGCTAATTTATTCATGACGTAGTAGTTCTGAATATTCATTAATGTGTGGGTCAATACACTCTAAAAGAGGTGATATATTAATTTTGGGGGCAAGAGTAAGAAAGGGGGAATTAGCAATCCTTAGGATTGGAACCCATTTGGATCAATGATCTTCGTTTCTGTTGTTGCATGTGACCGTCAGCTGTCATCTGTGTTCGTACTTGCTTCCATGCGAGGTAGTATTCTTGAGTTCTTGATTACTGAAGCTGCTGTTTATGTTTTTAACGTCTTTCTTATCTTGTCTTATAGAGTGTCCAGTCCGTGATTCGAACTTGCAATCTTTGAGCAATCTTTGAGTTCTGATCACTATGTGTACATCACTAGTGTACATCTTTCCAATTTGGTGTTTTCCATTTGCGTTGCCCATACCTGACCTAACCCTAACCCTAATGCCAAGACACGACACGTTCCTGTTAATAATTCCATTGCCCATACCTGACCTGACCCTAACCCTAATGCCAAGACATGTTCCTGTTAATAATTCAGTTGTCCATACCTAACCTGACCCTAACCCTAATGCCAAGACACGACACGTTCCTATTAATAATTCTGTTACCCATACCTGACCTGACCCTAACCTTAATGCTAAGACACGTTTCTGTTAATAATTCCATTGCCCATACCTGACCTGACCTGACCCTAACCCTAATGCCAAGACACGTTCCTGTTAATAATTCAGTTGTCCATACCTGACCTGACCCTAACCCTAATGCCAAGACACGTTCCTGTTAATAATTCAGTTGTCCATACCTGACCTAACCCTAACCCTAATGCCAAGACACGTTCCTGTTAATAATTCAGTTGTCCATACCTAACCTGACCCTAACCCTAATGCCAAGACACGACACGTTCCTATTAATAATTCTGTTACCCATACCTGACCTGACCCTAACCTTAATGCTAAGACACGTTTCTGTTAATAATTCCATTGCCCATACCTGACCTGACCTGACCCTAACCCTA